AGGTAGGGTAGAAGTAAAAGTAAGTACCTATTGGAATACATTTTCGGTGTAAGAAAATGTTAATTTCTGAAACGGTACTACTTCCATTCACACAAAGCTAGAATCCCATATTGCAAAGGTGGAGGGGCTGGTGAAAGCGTGACAGAATACAATCAAGTGGAGAGCAACCGCCTTGAGAAAACAGGCGTGCCATAATAAGAAAATAAGGCAAGCCTGTGAGGTATTGCACTACTTCTGGAACAGGTATGCTCTTCCACCAGTAACGAACACAGTAATACATATAAAGCAGAATATAAGAGGCAGGCACTATAGCTTCAAGAAAGAGATGTACAGCACTGTGCCATGGAGAAGTGCTGTATAACTATGATGTGAAACTGCCAAGGGTAGAGTCTTGGGGCACACTGGAGCATGTCAACTGGGCAAAACATCCAGTGGAAACGCCTTGTCTAGGATATTGTGAGCAACAAGAGCGTTCTACCCTATGGAAAAAAAAAATCCATAGGAATTGCCTTGAATAACTAGTTTGATGAAAAATTTTCAGACAATTCAGAATCAGCCCATTGTTAACAAATAGTACATAATTCATCCATCAAGTGTTAGCATGGGACATAGTGATAGTTAGTCATAGTAAGGTGTCTGATAATGTGATATAAATTTACATGGCTAGAGCTAAAGAACCATAAATTGTATATAAATAGGCTAAGTGCAGTCCACCCAGGTAAAAACATCCAGGGGAAGAACCTTGGGATATGTCAGATTGTGCCAAGTGTGATCCATCCAGGCAAAATCATCCAGTGGAAGTGCCTTGCATAAGCTTGTTAGATCAACGAATGTGGTCTGCCCGGGCAACAACATCCAGGAGAAGCATCTTGGGATACATCGCATTATGACAAGTGCAGTCCATCTGGGCAGAAAACATCCAGTGGAAGTGCCTTGCATAAAATTTTAGTTTGTGATTTACAACTGCAGTCAGTCTGGGCAAAAACATCCAGGGGAAGTACCTTGGATCCAGAATTTCATGGAAGTGCATAATGAATAAGTATAACGAAAATAGCCTTCTTATCACTGAGTGGGTACAATATGAGCTATGTAATTTGTAATTTATTGTACAAACCCCACTCAGGAGGAAACCTCCATGGTCCACCACTCCAGCGACTGTGAACTGTAAGTGGCAAGGACTCCCATGCTCCACTAGAAGAAAAGGGGGGTAGGATATGTGTTGGGGAGTCTGGATGAATGACACAATGGAGACAGCACAATGGGTGTCTTATTTTGAAAAGCAGAAAGACTCTGACTGTACAAATCACAGGTCAGTAGGTATGGGCAAAAATCCCTATCTGCTTTACTCATGAAGTCCATGAGCAACCAGCAGAACATGACAAGAAGTGGTCTGGATATGGAAAAAGACTCTGGAGAGGAGTCTGATCTGAGGATAGGCATATAGGTGAAGTACCCTCCAATCTCGACTGAAAGCATCCACCCCCAGAGCTGAGGAGTGAGGAACTGGAGACCAAAAAGAAGGAAATTTGACATTCCAGTGAGTGAGAAACACACACACATATATATATATATATACATACATGCGGTTCCAAGATGAGAACATACCCACAGAAATACCTGAAAATGAAGGGACCACTCCATGATGAGAACCTGGTTAGGAAGGGATAAGCAATTGCCTGCAAGATTCATAGTTCTGAGAAAATGAGAAGTCAGAACTGTCATGTCGTGGTCATTGGCTTAGTACAAGAGATCCCAAGTATGAAACACAGATCTGTACTTGGTACCCCCTTGCTTGGTAATATAGAGCTAATGAAAGTGGAATTGTCAAAATGAACCATAAACACCTACCCCCTCAAGAGTGGAAGGAAATGATACAGAGCCCATTGAGCTGCCAAATGTTCCAGGATGTTGATAAGGAGATTAGCCTCCTTGAATGACAGAAGCATCCAAACCCACCAAGGAAGCATCTGTGAACAGACGAGACTTGGGATGAGGGGTTAGGAATGTGAACCCCCACCGTAGTTAAGTCCCTATCGAACCACCAAGAAAGATCAGCCCTGATCCCAAGTGGAAGGGTGATAGGATGGTCCAAGAGAGCATGGGAGAAGTTCCACTGGTTAAGAAGCATTCCAATAAGTGGAATGCATGTTTCCAAGGGAATGTGAGCTTCCAAGGAAGCCCACATTGCCAAAAGAGATAGAACCTCTCACACAAAGAGAGGAGAAGAAGGTAAGGCCTTTGTGACTTTCCACTCCATATCCCAGAGCTGAAGTGGAGAAAGCTGGGCCCAACCAAGATGGGAATTGAAGAGAACCACCAAATGAACCCCAACTTGATGAGAAACCCCATCTGAGCAGCTTGTCAAAGAAGTAAGCAGAAGTGAGAGATTGACTGGGCACAGGAAGAGGTGAGCAGTAGCCAGTCATCCATGTTATGGTGAGTCTGAAGATCCAGGGAGTGAAGATGACATACGAAAGAGCATACCACACAACAAAACACATATTGAGCGGAAGAAAGATCCAACAGCAGCACCCAGTACTGGAAGACAAAACCCTCATGGACAAACCAAAGAAAATGATGTGACACTGGGGAAATTTAAATTTAAAGATAGGCATCAATCACATCAAACTTTGTCATCCAAAGTCTCCCAGGGAAAAAAACCCACTGAAGTGAGAGGTAGGACTCCATGGTGAAGCGAGGTGTCTACAGATAGGTATAGAGCTGGGAAAGATCTATGATGGGTCTCCAATCTCCCATGTTTTGGGTGACAACAATAAATGGGAGTAAAATCCTGCTTGAGAGGGCACCAACTGTTCAATAGCTCCTTTGTGTTGGAGGTCTCGAACAGACTGGGCAAGAGGACTGGATGAGGTATAATCTCGAGGGAAAAAAAATCTAGGAAGTGGATAGAGGGGGAGCGAAACTGAAGGTTAAAACCTTCAGATAGAACCCACAGAAGTGTAGCCAAAAAACACAGAAACTAAACATTCTTAGAAAAAGTATTCAATGCTAACAAACTAACAAAACTAAGATATTTTTAAAGTCTACAAAGTACATAAAAATAAACCTGCAAAACTAAGAACTTCGACCTAAAATATAAAACATCACCTAAAGTACAAAACCACTAAAGGAACTTACAATACAAACGAAATATCTAAGAGTGAAAAGAATAAAAATAACATAAACACACCCACAAAATTAGCCGAAGGTACAATAACCTAAACAGTAACGATCATGCAAAACCAATACATATACCAAAAATTAACAAAAACAAAGTAATAATCAAACTAAACATAAATTTAAACTAAAATAACTTACATGGTAAAAGAATAATAAAATCTAACATACCAAATACTGTGCAGGAAAGACATGAAAGATCTAAATTATTGAGTGTGGAAATTAGGCTCATCCACACAAGCACACATAAACTTGCTAAACATGGGTATACCTACTGAGAGTAAGGAATACACTGAAAAACTTACCACAGATCTCCTTGGAAAAACAACAATACCTAATCCAGCAGATTATATGGAGGCATGATATCAGGTGGAAAGTACTGTAGAAAGAAATTTCCACACAGTAGTTACATACTTCCTCATAAAAAATCATGACATGAAAGGAAGAAATCATCGGCTGAACATAAGACATGAAATCCTGCGAACTAGAGACTGTGCTTTCCCTGAGACCAGTGTCAGAACCATTGTCTACTAACCCAGGAATTTCATCATCCACCATATTAAATCTCAAATCCATATGAATAAAGCAGAAATATTTCTTAAAGAACGAGTAGAAACAATGGAAATCAAACACAAGAAGTTGAAACTAATATATATCTCTGATCGAGCACAATCAAAATTTTGTAGTCACATGGAGAACTAGTTAAAACACATGTCTATATAATAGAATGCCAATAGAGAAAGTGAGAACTGTGCTATAATATTAAATGACCAACCAGAAAACTAAAAATGTGGCAATAACATTATACAATTAAATGTCACTAAAATTATTATTATTATTTTACTGTTTGCTTGTTGTGTTTCTTTGTACTGTGGTAGCATTATCATATCATGTTGTAAGAACTCTAGTCTTAATGATGTTATGCTACACAAATTCTGCATGCCAAACCTTGCACTTCCAGCAGTATCTTGTTTTCTGGAGTGATGTTACTACCACCTGTTAGTAAAACTATCAAAGTCATGCTGTGTTAAAATAGCATGACAGCTAGCTAGTGTATGTGGAGAAGTTCAACATCAACAACATAGAGATCACATGTTTTGTTTCACTTGATTTTGTGATTTGTGACTTCACAAACTAAGGAATCGGGATAAATTTTATGACAACATTATAGAAGAATTCGTAAAGAAAAATTGTCAACTGGATTTTTTGAATGAAAAGGGTGAGTAAACCGGTTCTCTGTATGTTTATTTTCTCTTTTTTATCCTGAAGGTATGTTACATTAATCAGTTATTAGTTCATGACCTACTTCAGAACCCACTGCACACTTCAGTGTAGTAAGGTATTCATACACACAATACCCACATTACAAAACTGTAAAAAACAGAACAATTACACAAGCAAATGCTAATACTGTATCATATTGAGTCAGAGGTTGTTTTATTAATCTTCTCTCAGCACACAAACTCTCTCCATCTCTTTGAAACATAAACTATCATTATACCTATAGCTATTAAATATTTTTATTTTTAAGTGGAAAGAAACACTTGTCTGTTTTAAGTCCTGATGTGTTCATTTCACACCAGATTCTGTATCACAATAAATGATAGATTCCAAAAATAAACTTTACACCAGATTCACTATCCTAATAAATGCTAGGTTCTTATAACACATTTTACACGAGATTCAGTTTCAAAATAAGTGCTAGATTCTTAATATTGGTCAAACACCTATCTTAATATGAAATAAATACATACATGGTTCAAAACATAATATTTAAACTTCCAGTGAAAAGTAGATTTTCACAGCTGTGAAATTATATCTTCTATTACCACACAAGTAGGTTTTTACAGTGTAAATATTTACCTATATGTTACAACTGTTTACAGATTATTAACAAAGTTTAGATACTTACATAGATAATTGGTATAATAAACCAGCCAGTTTAAGAATGAAATCCCACTGAAGGCTATTCAGTTTACAGTCCTGCAGAAAAAAAAATCAGACTTCTCATCTCACAAGAGTACGAATGTGCTTTAGTGCTATAACAACTATCCTACAATGTAACAGTTTCCACTGAAACATTTTAGTACTATAACAACTATCCTACAATGTAACAATTCCCATTGAAATATTATTTTAGTACTATAACAACTATCCTACAATGTAACAGTTCCCATTGAAATATTAATTTAGTACTATAACAACTGTCCTACAATGTAACAATTCCAATTGAAATATTATTTTAGTACTATAACAATTATCCTACAATGTAACACTTACCATTGAAATATTATTTTAGTACTATAACAACTGTCCTACAATGTAACAGTTTCCACTGAAACATTTTAGTACTATAACAACTGTCCTACAATGTAACAGTTTCCACTGAAACATTATTTTAGTACTATAACAACTATCCTACAATGTAACAGTTCCCACTGAAACATTATTTTAGTACTATAACAACTATCCTACCATGTAACAGTTTCCACTGAAACATTTTAGTACTATAACAACTATCCTACAATGTAACAGTTCCCATTGAAATAGTATTTTAGTACTATAACAATTGTCCTACAATGTAACAGTTTCCACTGAAACATTTTAGTACTATAACAACTATCCTACAATGTAACAATTCCCATTGAAATATTATTTTAGTACTATAACAACTATCCTACAATGTAACAGTTCCAATTGAAATATTATTTTAGTACTATAACAACTGTCCTACAATGTAACAGTTTCCACTGAAACATTTTAGTACTATAACAACTGTCCTACAATGTAAGTTTCCACTGAAACATTATTTTAGTACAATAACAACTATCCTACAATGTAACAGTTCCCATTGAAATATTATTTTAGTACTATAACAACTATCCTACAGTGTAACAATTCCCATTGGAACATTATTTTAGTACTATAACAACTGTCCTACCATGTAACAGTTTTCATTGGAACATTATTTTAGTACTATAACAACTATCCTACAATGTAGCAATTCCCATTGAAATATTATTTTAGTACTATAACAACTATCCTACAATGTAAGTTTCCACTGAAACATTATTTTAGTACTATAACAACTATCCTACAATGTAACAGTTCCCATTGAAACATTATTTTAGTACTGTAACAACTATCCTACAATGTAACAGTTCCAATTGAAACATTATTTTAGTACTATAACAACTATCCTACAATGTAAGTTCCCATTGAAATAGTATTTTAGTACTATAACAACTATCCTACAATGTAAGTTTCCACTGAAACATTATTTTAGTACTATAACAACTATCCTACCATGAAACAGTTCCCATTGAAATATTATTTTAGTACTATAACAACTGTCCTACCATGTAACAGTTTTCATTGGAACATTATTTTAGTACTATAACAACTATCCTACAATGTAGCAATTCCCATTGAAATATTATTTTAGTACTATAACAACTATCCTACAATGTAACAATTCCCATTGAAATATTATTTTAGTACTATAACAACTATCCTACAATGTAACAGTTTCCACTGAAACATTTTAGTACTATAACAACTATCCTACAATGTAACAGTTCCCACTGAAATATTATTTTAGTACTATAACAACTATCCTACAATGTAACAATTCCCATTGAAATATTATTTTAGTACTATAACAACTATCCTACAATGTAACAGTTTTCATTGGAACATACTCACTGACAGAAGCATAAAAGAGAAAATGTTGCTTCTACTACAAATGCAAGACAAATGAAAAAATTTAGTATTCATCTTAATGAACATTTTATGGTTTTATCATGGAAGAAATACTTTACAAGTTCTTTAGTTACTAAACACAGTATCACTATCATATTTGAAACCAGTGATTCATCAACCTAAGAGTTTTAGAAACAAAAGCTGAGCCAATGAACATTTCATACAAATGTATATACTATTGGACAAAAAACCAGGTCAGATGTATAAATATCTTAAAGTTTGGTTTTAGTTTCATAAAAATGTCATAAGTATCATAGATTATGTTAAAGTCTTCATGGTAATTACTGCTTTCATAAGTTAAACATTTTAACACCTTTTTCTTACTCTATGTCTAGACCATTCCTTCATTATGCTAATAAATTAGTAACTTAATTAAAAGACTGGAATTTAAAAGGAATTTCTTATAAAAGTTGCTTGTTATTCCTCAATCCTCAACCTTTAGAATGTTCAGTTAAAGTAATTTTCCAGAATGAAAAAAAGTTATGTCCCTACCTCATACAAAAGATGCAAGCCATACAAAACAACAGGCAAGTATGGGAAGAGTAGACCACTGTTACTAACAGGATACTCTAGATCTAAATCACCCACACAGTTATCTTGTTCAGTTGGGCTTATAAAACTTAGAACTTCCCGTTGAATTTGACATCCCTGATGGTGAGCTGATATAATGAGAGAGTTCCAATCCTATAAGTGAAAAACCAAACTTATTATTATTTCTTCAGCTACTTTCTGATGACATTAAAGATACTTACCAGACATTAAAGTTTTAAACTGTTCATGAATAAGAGAAATACTAAAACAAAGAATATACCATATTTATCGGTGTATAAGAAGTTACTTTTTGCTCAAAAAAACATTGCCTGATTTTACCCCTCGTCTTACTCACAGGTTCAAAGATAGAGTTCCAGTATACCAGTAAAACCTCTTTGGTTAATAGCATAGTTAGCCAAAACTACATTGTTTGCTTTTTTGAGTAAGTGCATTGACATCGTGCCACCTACTGCATTACCATAACATATTTGTAATTGTATCATTTGTCTCACTTTTTCATAACTAGAAGTTATTTATCTCATATGCTAATTACAATTAATCAAGTCATTTTCTATTTGAAATGTATCAATCTCATCCATCATACTAAAATATTGCTAATACACTAAAAAAAGTTAGTTTCTGTAACATACACTAGTTTTGTAAACATGTTTTTATAGTTGTTCACTATATCTTAAGGCAGGCATATGAAATGTATATCCAGTTGGCCAGATGTGGCCCACAGGGTGGTTTTATCCAGCCTGCAATGAGTAATTAAAATATAATTGAATGCGGCCCACCTGTGGTTCGAGGGACTATTCCGTGAAGAAAATCTTGTTGAGAGAATATAATCTAACCATTACCAGATTCAGGGTGCCAGGAAAATCGCCGGCTAAGACCACAATGTGGTGACTGTGGGCCCAGAAAGGAGATCCAGGACCTAGAATTGGTACTCCCAGCTCTGTGATATAAGTTATTACTGTGGAGATTTCAAAATGTACCACAACCACCCACTCCTCCTGTAAGAACTGACAAAGGCTTGAGAAAGATTATATGGAGAAAAGACTCCTTGATCGACCAAAGACTGGAAATCTCCCAGAAGTTGATGTAAGAGCCTCAACCCTCTATAGATGAGTCTTTGAAAAGATGTAAATTTGGATGATGTGGAGTAAGCAGCTCCCCTGCCATGATCTGGTCTCTCTCTAACCATCAAGCTAGGGATTCGAGGAGAAGTTCCACTGATCAAGGAGTGTCCCCTGAAGGGAACAAGTACAAACCCGACTCATGGGGATGAGAGCTTCCAAAGAAGCCTACATCCCCAAAGAGATAGAACAGTTCGAGCTGTAACAAAAGGGAGGTGAGGAACTTGTGAATTGCTTGCTTTAAACCTGAAGATAAAAAAAAGGCAGGGCTCAACTGAGATTGGAAAAAAAAAACCTCCCCAAATGAAAAGGGTATTGATAGGGGGTAAGAATGTACTTCCCCACTATCATCAGGAATCCCACCCATGCTGCTTCCTATAGGAATAGAAGAGTGTGTTCTCTGGAAGGAGAATGGGAAGAAGCAAGCAAGAGCCAGTCATCCATAGAAAGAAGAGTGAAAAGTCTCAAAGAGTGAAGATGTTGAGTAAGTTAGTTACTTTTATAAATGATAAGTAGAAAAATTTACATAAAAAACGAATTCCATATTTAAGTGTGGATCTTTATGCAGTAGAAGTCTTATTAGTTACTTTACTGAATTTTTATTTATTTTAAATATTCAATTTATAACACAAAAATATAAATAAAGAATACAATATGTTAGAATAATTGCATTACCTGGTCAATCTAAGCTTGGTGATAACAACTTTGAATTTGTATGCCAAATAATTCAAAAGCTGTCATCAGAATGAGCTGGTCTTATACATAAGCCAATAAATTAAAATATTCTCTTTCAATTGGTTATAAATAATGTAAAAGCAAATGTCAGAGAGAATTACTGACATTTTTTTCAAACACAGTATGTAATAGGAGGGCATGGGTTTGACTTTCTGTTTTATATCTCAGTAAACAAGAAGACTGAACGCCATAAAATTATATCTCAGTAATATCTATTCTATAAGCTTGTAATTTGTATTAAAACTCAGAAGCTCAAATTTGCATGGAAAGAATATCTAAAATGAACAATTTGGAGCAAAGAAGTGTCACATGATAAACAGAAGTGAAGATTAAGAACTTATATGATATTAAAATTTCAACAACAATTAATTACACTTTTTTCATTTGAGTAGGAGACAAGGATTCATTACTGTACTTTTATAGACATACTAACACCTGCCACGATTCTATTAAATTTACTCTAGATTACTCCACTACCCAAATAAGCTTCTTAGGTGTAAAACTAACATTAAAAGATGGTATTTTGCATACTGATTTGTACCGACAACCAACGGATAAACTACAACACTTATATAATCGAAGCTGTCACCCTCCACACACAAAATGCAATATCACATTCAATCAAGCACTCAGATTAAAGAAGATATACTCAGATATTAAGAACAATGATTGTCACATTAATTCTTTGAAACACACTATGAATGAAAGTGGTTGTAAACAAAACACAATCACCCAACAACTGACAAAGCTAACAATATACCACAAGAATCTGCAATGAAACAATTACCTAAAACAAATTCTTATCATGTTCCACTGGTTATTAGCTATCACCCAAAACTAAAAAACCTACTCTGAATATTAAAAAAATACTTTTACCTCCTTCAACTTAATGATCGACTAAAATCTATTTTTACAGAAGTTCCTGTCGATTCTTTCCAAAAAAATAAAACTTTGCATTCACATAATATCTATAGTGTTGAAGAATTTATTGTACATACGTTAACTTGTTCTGAATATATATATATATATATTATTTTGAAAACAAGTGAAGTGTGTGCTGTTTATTCATCATTAAATTTATTGCTAACAAGTCAGACACCTACTGTAAAAAAATCCTAAGCCCAACAACAACACAGTAAATATCTATACTATTAAGAAATATAACTAAAAGCCTATTTATTTTGACAATTGGCGAAGAACAGATCTTTTAATTCTGACAGTTGGTGAGCCACAGCCAGGATTATACAGTGTTAAACAGCAATAGAAGAAAATGTGAACGACAGCAGAAATAAGTAGGCCTACCTATATACACACAACTGTAGTAGTAACAAAAATAGTGTAGAGATTAAAATTACACTAAATAACCATGTCAACAGATTTTTATAAATGGGTAGAAAGAGGATCTCAACTTCAGTTAAAAGATAGTGAATTACGAAAGTTTGTTAAACAACAACAACAAGAACTAGAAAGAGAAGAACAGCAACAGAACAGACAAATTGTGAAAGAAAAAAAGAGAACGACTGAAAGAAGAAAATGAGAGAAGGGAGAAACTAGAAATAGAGAGAATGAGAATACAACTTGAGGAAAAAGAGAAAAAGGAGAGACTAGAAATAAAGAGAGAGAATAAGAGCACAAATTGAGATAGCAAAACTCACCCAACTGAAAAAAGGACCCAAGAATGACAATAGAGTCAGGGCTAGCCGACACAAGCTGTCCAAATTTGATGAACATAAAGATGACATAGATGCTTTCCTGGAGAGATATGAAAGATTCGCCCAAAGTCAGAACTAGGACAAAGGCGACTGGGCAGTCTGTTTCAGCCCACTTCTCACAGGAAAAGATCTACAAGTATATTCAAGCATGACTTCAGAAGATGCCATGGATTATGACAAATTAAAAGTAGCTTTACTGAAACGATAAGAATTTACTGAAGAAGGTTTTTTGTCAGAAGTTCAGAGAAGTTAAACCAATAACTGGAGAAACTGTATTGCAGTTTGTGGCATGTCTTCAGCAATATTTCACCTGATGGATTGACATGGCCAAATGTGAAAATAGTTTTGGGGGACTGGCAGATCTACTAATATGGGAACAGTTGATGATCACGTGTTCCACTGATATATCATTGTTCCTAAAGGAGAGAGCACCAAAAAATGTAGACAAGATGATCAAGCTGGCAGAACAAAATATGGAAGCCCATGGAGGTAGTACGACTGGCAAGTCCAAGAATGACCAGTTAAATTTGAAACCATTGATTGCTGACCAGAAGCAGGAGTTTACCAAAGGTGACAGGAGGTTAACAGACAGAAAGGAGATGTTATGTTATTTTAAGTCCATTATCAGCAAACAACTGCAGAAACCTCAACATAAAGCAGCTGGCACCATTTACAAAGACAGTGCTGTTAAGAAACAAGAAAAAATTGAATGGCACTATGGATGTTTCTGTTAGAAGAAAGAGAATCAAAAATACTTGTCAAACTCAATACAAGAGAGCATGATTGATCAGTGCATGACTAATGGTTGGCTCAAATTAACAATAGGAATAATAGTGCCAATAGTGATGGGAGCATGTGACAAATATAAAGAGATGCCAACAAATAATAATATGCCAATATGTAAAGGCTATGTTGGAGACAAGAAAGTGAAGGTTCTATGAGACACTGGGTGCAGTAGTGCAGCAATGAGAACCAGTCTAGTATCCGATGATCAGACGACAGGCAAAGTACGCCAGAGTGTGCTAATTGATGGGACAGTGAGAAAATTTCCCATAGCAAAAATAAAGGTGGATACTCCATATTATGTGGGAGACCTTGAGGCCATGTGTATCAAGCAACCAATACATGACTTGGTGATAGGAAACATACTAGGTAGTAGAAACTTTGAGGAACTAGACAGAAAGAAGATTGATGAAGCATCTGCTGTCACCACCAGAGCTCAAAAAAAGAAGAGCAAACAAGACATCAAGCCCCTGCAAGTGTCAAAAGGTGATACACCGAATTTAGGTTTGCAGGAACTGAAGGATGCACAGAAGAAAAACCCTCCACTGCAGAAACTTTAGGACGATGTCTGGAAGAAAGTCGAACACAAAACAAAGGGGAAAGATACTTAGAGAATAGAGGACCAGAAAAGAGTTCTATACCAAATCTATTAAGGCAGTTAAACAGATCATAGTACCAACAGAATACCGAACTCAAGTGATGAAGTTGGCTTATGAATCAATTGTGGGAGGACACCTAGGAATAAAGAAAACGGCAGATAGAATCACCAGTAACTTCCAATGGCCAGTAGGCATGGAAGATCTGAGTACATTCTGCAGGTCATGTGCCCTCTGCCAAAGGACAATACCTAGAGGGAAGGTAGCCAAAGTGCCATTGGAGAGATGCCTCTCATAGAAGAGCCTTTCAGCAGAGTAGCTGTGGACTTTATCTGGCCACTAGCGGTTGTTTCTGACAAGGGCAACTGGTATGTTCTGACAGTAATTGACTATTCAACACATTATCCAGAAGCAATAGCACTGGTGAAGATAGTGAGAGAGAATAGCAGAAGCCCTTCTGGAGATATTTTGCAGAGTAGGCTTTCCGAGGGAAATCCTCAGTGATAGAAGGACCCAGATTACTTAAGAACTGATGCAGGAAGTGTGCAGACTCATTTTGTACACTAAAATCAAGTTTTCAATTTAGTATTTCCACTAAAGATTTGTCTATGAATGTATGAAATCAGAGTTTTGACTGCTCAGAGTACAAAGTGATTTTCATGTTGAGATAAAAATACTTTTCTTCATCTGAAAATTTTAAAATTTCATTTGTGTAACCTCAAAATCCTCCTAAATAAATATAAATATTTTATTTTTCAGTGAAACCTTATCTGATATTTTCTCCACCCTAACTCTATATGGACTCGGCATATTTCACCTACCTTGTAACAACCATAAAAAAATACTAAATAAATCTAAATTACAAAAAATGTTTTGCAACTATTATTTAACTGGCTTTGTAACTAAGACACTGCGCTTAAATTAATTCCCTTTGCTGCTTGATCTGAACACCACAAGACAAACTTTCAAAGTGAAGTCAAAATTGACAATACTCTCATAAATAAATTATAGAAAAATGAAGACCCAAAGAACAAATGTCACAAGTCTCATATCAGGGAAGATTGAGAATTTTTTAAGTTATTTCATTATAAAATTAAGAACTTTCTCTTAGAACATATATAATATTAAAATTTGATATATTAACTACGTTTTGATAATAAAGTAGTTTTATTCAATTTTGAATGTAACTCTGGAAAAAGTCATGATATCCACACTCTTACCTACCCACAGTAAGACAGTTAGGAGTTAAATTTAAAAAAACTTGTAAATTGAAGGGCATCTGGGAATAGTGCTAATTCAATCTTTTGTGAATATGGTACAAACTACATCATCTAAAAAAAATAACAACACAGCACCATATGGTCATTTAATTACTTATATTTTCTTAATGATCACAGAATGCTCTATCTGATAAAACTGTTTTGTACGTGTGTGTGACAGAACCTGAGAAACATATCACTCAGTCCATATAAAAAGACATATTCCATTATCAGTTTTGGAGTTACATTTTTGAACATCCCAGCATTGCAGTCACTTAGTAGAAACATTTTTAGTGTCATGTTAAGCTGAATTTTTAACACAGGATGTACATTATTACATTCTGCTACAAAAACCAACTGTGATAAAATAAGTGAACAGCTTACTTGACCAGAGCCTTGATTGGAGGTTTTGAGTTTTTTTACAGCAACTGGAGAAAACGACAGGTCCTTGTCCATGAATCCTCCAAAATGAAGATGTTCTGTATTGTATCCCAACATTCCAAGTAGACAAGTAAGGAAAGACTGCAGTTCAAAGTAGGCACTGATGTCACATGGTCCAGGAGCATTCCGAATGGTGTACCACTTTGAAAACACTTGTAATGACACATCCCGAGGGAGAATGCTCCGAAGAACTTGCAGACACTTAGAGACTATTATGAAATACAAAACATCAGATACAAAAGGAACTAGTTGCCTGCATTTCCTAAATATAATGAAGTATAAAATTGTTATTACACTTACAGTTTGGTGAAAAGTTAAAGAAAGATCACACGCTAATGCACTCTGAATGAATTTTGGTGGAATTTTTCCTAAGGTAATCATTTAGCCATACATTACATTTTTTTACTTTTTCTTATTCTTACATACTACTATTTACAAACAAACAACATTAGAATTACTTTTCCACAGTAAAAACAGACAGAAAAACAAGATTATCACCCATCACCTGTAGACAAAATTAATACTCATCTTACCAACAGAGGACATGGATATGTGTGGAAGAGAAACACGATAGAGAGTTCCACTTGCTGTTTCCTATAAATCCCACACACACAAACACAAAAGAAAAAGACATATATTTTCAAAACTTTTCAAATGATAACAATGAAAACAACATGTTTACGAAAATGTTTAAAATCCTAGTAATGTTCTTGACTTTGGCATCAGAATTTAAATTCTTTCAGTTTCAATAACTTAATTAATGGAGTAAAAGAAGCAGTTGATATCTTGAAAAAGTATTTCACTATTATGAAAGTAATATCAAGTTAGTTTTAATAGTTAATGAATTACAATTACAAGTTTTGATCTTCCAATAATACTAGACACTATGCATTTTGCCTAATGGTAGTAGCTTTTTTATACAACAGTCTGTTCAGTTAAGCCCACACTATTGTTTCTAGATGTAGTTTGCCCATTGAATTTAACAATTAATTTTACTCTAATTTTTTTCTTCTTATACTAATTATTCCTTTAAAAAACAATAAAAAATTTGAACATCTGTATCTCACAATAAAAGTGCATTACTAAGGTAACTCTGTTCTCCATAACATCCTTAACCTTGAAGATATGATTAAAGTAAAAGAATGTTACCAAGGTAAACCTGTGTTCTTCAAGCATTTCTTAACTTTAAAGACTTGATTACAGTAAAAGATTGTTACCAAGGTAACCCTGTTCTCCACAGCATCCCTTAACCCAGTCGTCACTCCAATGTATCTCTGAGTATTATCCTCGACTGCTGACATTTCATCATTGAATTGAGTGAGTACTGGTGACAACAACTGCACCTGAGAAGATATGATAGCTAGTCAATGGTGTCTATTATTACCATACAAGTCCCAAAATCAGAGCAGCGATAAACATAAAAAAACTTTTTAACTATAGACTATCTTTTCATAATCTTTTTGTCTCAGAAAATAATGCTATGCAAAGTTTCAACTACATCACATTTTATGATATTATGAATGGTGATACGTTAAAATTTACTCAAAACAAAGATACACATACATACACACACACACACAGCTTTATAACCATGTTCAGGGTTTGGTCTGGGCATTATCAAAATTGTATTTTATGAATTTTTACTTTTGTTAACAACAAAATTTAGTATTTTGCAATTTCATTTGTGCCAGCATTTCATGCTAGTAAAATCTTAATATTGATATTTTCATTAGTAGTTATAACATGGCATTTGTTTACTGTACAGGTAAAATCATAGGTAATTAATTTCACCTGCTTAAGGTTAGCAATTTTTCTTACTCCCCAACTTTTTATCAGCTTCTTCATCCCAAAATCTAAACTTATAGATTAGCAGAAGAGTTGGCTTTTGTTTTGTGAAGCATTATTCTGGTGAATTCTTAAACACACACACACATACTCGCAAAAGAAAATGTCATTTAATTCTTATAAATCATTATTAAAATAATTCTAAGGCATTATGCCTTAGTCAGAAAGGCAGTTAAATTATAATATTTAGAGACACTGTCTGTTTTGTGCATATTATTTTATGTTCCTAAGTGCAAATTTGAAATAAAAATTAGTTAATGTACTAGTTCCATCATTACAAAAAGTAGGCTTAAGTTTGATCAACGAGCAAACAGCAAAAAAAGAAGGGGCTAAATATAAGTACTAAATTTCTTGTTTTCATGTACATTCTTCATTTATTGTTATTAAAATAACTAAAATGTAAAAATTAGTAAAGCACAGTCCAAGAGCAATAAAAGAATAAAATGAAACATAAATAGTTTAAGATAAATAACTGTAGTTTCTTGTTTCAGTCTGCAGTGATTATAGAAACAAAAAAGGGTAATTTACATTTATTTTTGAATTGGTTGCAAGGTTGGTCAAATCAGTGGAGTCCTTATAGAATAAGCGCAGAGAAAATAACACAAAATATAAAGTTTAACTGAAAAAAAAACGTCTTATGTTCATATAGGAGGTTTAGAAGTTATGCAAATGAAATTTGAAAACTTTAAGATGAATAAAAGTCTTTTTAATCTTAACATGAAAATCACCTTGCACTTGAACTGTCAACACTGACTCCATACATTCAAAGAAAAATCTTTAGTAAAAATACTTAATTAAAAATTATGATTTTTTGTGCACAAAAGACTTGTAATGTTTAATAAAAGCTTACCAACAAAGGTATAGTATGGATACTTTCATGGTTATCTGGTGGTTACAAGGTAAGTCAAAATTACCAAGCTCATGTAGAGAGAGTTAACCCTCTTACTAAGGGGTTGATCAGTTTGATCAAGTCACATGACCTTTTGTACTTGTTTAAGGTCTTTACAAATTTAATACTTATAACTCTCAATATATTGGGTATATCTTCATCAAATTTGGCAGTCTTTCAGTTAATATTCAAAGTCTTTCACATACAAAAAATTTATATTTCTTAGT